AGCAGGAGAGGAGATCGTGCGATGATCATGAGAAGCAAGCGTAATCAGACCGGAAATCGATCAGCACGTACAAAGAAAAGAGATGTGGAAAAAGGGAGGCCAGAAACCGGTTTTCTATGGCATCATCTTCCCTCTGAATAGGTTTTTATTTCATAAATATAGAAGGAAAATCAAAGATTTATAAGGGAAGATTGATATATCTTTGTTATGATGTATTTGTTAATTTTATTAAGTTGTAGCTTTGTTTAATGCAACCCCCCAACAAACCCAGTTAATACCCTTTTAACATAAGAACCAAATTAAGTCAACTGACTAACCTGTTTTCCAACAACCTGGTTAAGATGGCATCGACACGTTAGGCGGGCCCTTTCTGGTTTTGTGGCCAAAAGGAAGTGGCAGCGGAAAAGGAAGTGCACTTAAAGGGATATCATCTGTTCTTAGGGCTATAGAGAATCGTGTGCAAGGGCTTTTCCATAACATTTTCCATATTCCCACCTTTACGCCAAAAGTGCAAACAATCGTTTTGGCCACAGGAAGCTGCCGTTTAAACAAAACTGCCTGGAGATATATGTATATAGATATGGCGCGAGATCTGTCTGTGTAAATCTCCCTTCCGCTGGCGAGGCAGCTGGAAAAAGAAAAAAAGAAGAGAAATACAAGAATTTATCTCTATTTCCGTTCCTTTGCATAAATGTCTGCTGCTGTCTGGTTTTTGTTTCATTTGCTTTTTTAGAATTTATTACAGAGCTGTCTGGTTGTCTGCTGGTCTGCTTCCTTCTTTACGTGTTTTCCCCCTTTTATTTTTTTCTTCTGTGTCTTGGAGTAATCGCCTCATTAATTCGCGCGCGTTTCATGCTGCACTGAATCAATTTGCATGTTGTGCAGAAAAGCGAAAGAGAGAGAGGGGGAGAAAACAAAATAAAAAAGAAATCTACTTACAAAGTCTTTAAATTTAATTTTCCGTCTGCAAAGGAAATCATGGAGATTTCAGACCTTTAATGAGACCCTGCCCGACTCGATGCCACTCGATGGGTGTGGAAATGAGATCGTGTTGTAATTTTCCAACCCCACTCAACTCGATGAAATCCCCAAGGCAAATGTCAATGTTGTGTGGGTTGGGGGAGGGGGAAAAAAAAGGGAAAATAAGCATTTTCCACAAGCAGATTGCGGCGCCGACTTTAGAAGTTTTTGGTTTTCCAATATTATTAGGGCCACAACCCATGTGGCATATGGAATATGGAAGAAGAAGGATGATGCTATTTTTGTGATCCCCTGGCAACGTTGAAAGAAACATGCCGCATGTGTAGCACGCTGTCTGATCAGGGATATATATGTAGATATAGATCTCAGTGATCTGGTTTATTGCTGCACCATCTATGCATTAGTCCGAGTAAACAAATAACTGACTAATCAGTCTGGTAATCATTAAAAGTAGGAGCTAAACTAGGGAGGAGATACTGGGATAGATTGTATATTATTGTTATTTAAATGTAATTTTTATTAATTGTTAATCTGAATTGTACTTTTTAACTTCAAGAATTCAAAACCCGAATCTTTTCAGGGCTTAATCAGGTTCTGTTTGTAATATATGTTTAAAATATAATGTTCGTTCCTATCATGTATAAACTATACCAGAATTTGCAGAATTTCTTTTCATAATTTTCTGAGTAAACATTTTTTGAATACCAATTAATCGTTTTATATAAATAATTTAGTTTCAAGAATGCGTTTCACTTCCGTTCTCATCGAATTGCAAAAATGTTCTTTTGTCGTAATATTTTCTACCCAAAAAAAAAAAATGCCACTTCCGCTTTTATTTTACGACCATAAACCTTCTGTTTTCTGTCTTTTTGTATTGTATTTAAAGAATTCCCACAACTTCCGTTGTTTTTGTTCTTAAATATTTATTACCTTTAAAACAGATGATTTTAAAAATTAAATTTGTGAAATGTTACAATTATTAGTAATATTTTGATAAGGAACTAATAGAACTCGGTAATTTGATTTATTATGAGAGGAAATATTTGTATGAATAGTGATTTAATCCATGATTATAATAAATAGTAAATCTTACACCTTAATGTTCCACAGAACTTACAATAGTTTTCAATAATTTCCTATAAATTTCCGGCTCTTGTATTTAAATAATACTTACATTTAAAAAATTCCCATATATGACGATGATGAGCCAACTTCCGGTTGACTTTAGGCATGCATAAACCTTGTGGAATTCCCCTTCCTTCCGATTTCCTTCCTCCTTCTCCTGGATCTGTGCTCTCCGGTTCCGTTTATCGTGTTTGGCATATGTAAGATGATATATGCGAGTTGGAGTCCATCGCTGGATTGCTCTGCCTCTGCTTCCAATGGTGGTGTTGCTCAATGCATCTGAAGGTCGGATATCGGACGGTTTATGACCGATGGCTTCAGTTCACAGAACAAACAAACTCTACATATCGAAGTCCATGGATTAGCATTTTGCAATTTTCCCGTTCCCTTGTTCGGTTGGGGGCTCGTTCGATTCGATGGAATCGTTTTGCAATTTCTTTATCATCAGTTTATTTTTTCTATATTTCTTTGCGTGGATGAGTAAGCGAAATCTTTAGAAATTCCCATCGATTATGTCATTAAATTTAGAAAACTTTGATTGTCTGACTGAATTTGCATGGCGTTTGAGAAAAAAAAAAAAGAAATAATAATAAAACGTTCAGTGGGGCGGCCGGCGGCCAATGACAAGGCAAAGCCATAAAAAAACCCACAAATAAATTATAAACGTCACAGAAACGCAAAAATTCCAACAGTTTTTGTGCCGGGGTTTTGTTTTTTTCTTTCCCCTTCTCTCTCTACTACTACCCCTCCTCCTCCTCCTCCTCCTCGTCCGGTCTTTCTCCTTTATTTACTACCACGATTTCATGAATGAAATTTACTGTTTTGCTTTTTTCACTTTGAATTTGTGTCATTTGATGGCGTTTTGTGTTTGTTTTGTGGCTTTGCGTTTGCTTTTGCATATATAAAATGTGCTTCTGATTCTCCTTGTGTTGTTTTTGTTGTGTTTTCGTGGGTTTTTCATTCATGAAAGGAAAAATGGGAGGCAAAATAATAAAAGAAAACGAACGCCTTTGTTATCATGCGTTGTTTCTTTTCTTTCTCTCCTCTCCCCTTTCTTCTACGACAAAAAACGTAGAGTGAGAGTGTGAGAGCTTGCGATTGTGATTGTGAAAAACTGCCGTTGTTTTGCCAAGACACACAGAGGAGACACTCTCCAAAAAGTCTCTCCATACATTAGTCTCCATACAGTTACGATTTTGCTAACACACGGCGTTCCATTGATAAGTCGCTAGATGATAGCGTAGCGAATCCAAAGCTATATGTATGTACATATGTATATAGCTCACACCTAGCTCATCCACAATCTATTCGGAACCGATTCAACCCATCCGAACCAAAACCAACCTAGTCAGTCCACCGCCTCAGCTGTGTCAACAGAGGGGTCTCATTGAAAAGCAATCTGTTTTGATACAGGCAAACTTTCCTAAATTGTATTTTTTTAAATTTCAATATTATTTATTCCATATTTCATTCGGTAAAATTGGAATTTGAAGTTGTTTATAGCATCCTGCTAAATTTACCTCTGCTTTGGTTACTAATCTTTAGAACTTTTAAGCAAATTAGTTTGCAATCAATATCACAACATTAAGAAACTACTTAAAATTGAGTATTTGCATTAACAACTTATTGTTTTGCCAATTTAAGAAAAATATGTACATTTTCTAGCCATAATAGTTTTGATTCCTTATTTTAAGCCTCTCAAATCATAGTCTTTCATTTCGATCATTATAAAACAAAATATATGAAATTATTATGTGTCTCCTAAGAGGTTTCACTGTAAAAAGCAGGGCAACACAAATATAGCAAAATATACATAGAAACCACATACAACACAAGTACCGGTAGTTGTGTGTGTTTGCACTTATTATATTTCCGCTCGACTGCCGCTAATTTCTTTCATTGAGCAAGTTTTATAGTACTTATAGTACTTGCCTTTTTGTAGGCCGCATAGGCGCCTTCACCCTTTGCGCGCGCTTATCAAGGCTGCCACTGCCATTCCCATTCCCATTCCGAATCCGAATCCAATTCCGATTCCGTTTATTGTTAACGTTACCAGTCTAGCCAAGCGCCAGCCAATGCTGTCCTCAGTCCCCCAGGTGGCGGAGCATCAATAATAGATATTGCGGTGCGATGCACACACATTCGCAAAACCAATATATCGACGCACTCGCACAGGAAGTCACGTCCGCTGACCGTTTTCGGAACTCAAAAGAGCCCGCTGAAATATATAGTATGTTGTAATGGATACAGAGTGTGTGTATGTCTGTCTGTCTTTACAGCAGCAGTTAGCAGGTGTCAAGGCCAGGCGATAATGGGTATAAATGGATACCTTTAATGGGAGGGGATAATACTATATAAAACGTGTTAATCAAAGAGCTAACAATCCATTCTGTGGAGAGAGAAAGCATTACTAATTAAAAGAAAGTATTTCCACCTCAAGCTATTAGGTGTCAAGGCCAGTTGATAATGCCCAAGCGGTTGTTGATATCAAAATTCAAGTTAAAAAACTGAGCGATAATGGTTAACAGTCCATCCGGTTGGGTGAAAGTGTGTAGCCATTCTTAGAAAACGAGATTGGTCTAGACCGGGCTGGTTGCTTAGTTTAACTTTTGCGGGAATATTATTGAATTAAATGAGATTGAATTGCATTAGTTTATCATTCTTTGAGAAACCAAACGACATGTTTTCTGGTTTAGGCTTTATAATCAAGCAGATTTCAAAATAAATCTCACTTGAGAGCCACTTGGTTTGATTATTACTTAATCTCAAGTTGATACTCCTCCTCCTGATCCTATAAATGTCTATAATTTTAATGCTAAGCTTAATACATCAAAATTAATTGGCAACAAATTGTAATATTAATTAACTTTTACGTTATTGCCTTTTCTTTGCAGGCGAAGCAAAGAATCTGAGCAGTCGCAATGCGGCCAACACAAGCTGCAGCACACAGGGCACCCGCGATGTCTATTGCACGATTGCCCTCGACCAGGAGGAGATCTGCCGCACATCCACCATCGAACGCACACTGTCGCCATTCTTTGGCGAAGAGCACCATTTCAAGATCCCGCGTCGCTTCCGCTACCTGTCCATTTACGTGTACGATCGGGACATGAAGCAGGACAAGCCCATTGGCAAGATAGCCATCAAGCGGGAGAATCTTCACATGTACAATCACAAGGATCATTGGTTTTCGCTGCGACCGGTGGACTCAGACTCCGAAGTTCAGGGCATGATCAATGTGGAAGTGTCGTTCGAGGAGGCACCACAGTCCCAGTCGCTATCGGAGAGCATTGAAAGCATCGAACACAGACCACATCATCATACACACCACCACCATCAGCCGAGGGCGCATCTGAACGATTACAAGGAGAACGGCGGCGAGTTCAATAACGTTGAGTGGTTGTGGACAGGTCAGGTGCACAAATGGAAGCCACCGAATGCGAGAAATGTGGGAGTGACCATCAAGGTGCCCGCCTGCGTGGATCTGGCCAAGAAGCAGGGCACCTGCGATCCCTTCGTCGTATGCACAGCTCATTACAGCAACAAGCAGCAGGTGACGCGGCGGACAAAGCAGCGCAAGAAGACCGTCGATCCAGAGTTCGACGAGGCCATGTACTTTGATCTCCACATCGATGCGGAAGCGGGCAGCACGAACACCACCGGCAGCAACAAGAGTGCTGCTTCCCTGGATTCATCCGCCAACAAGGGCTATGCCATCTATCCACTGGGCGGAGCAGATCTGGTGGAGATTGTGGTGAGCATATGGCACGACGCACATGGCGCCATGGCCGATAAGGTGTTTCTCGGTGAGGTGCGACTTCCCATGCTCAACAAGCAGGAGCAGCAAGCGGTTCCGCCATCGGCTTGGTATTACCTCCAGCCCCGATCCATGGCGCACAGCTGTCGCTCGCTGAACGCCACTCCCCGCTCCTGCGCCACGCCACCGGGAACGAGATTGAGCGTAGACTCCACCATTGGATCACTGCGCCTGAACCTAAACTACACCGCCGATCATGTCTTCCCGCTGGCCACCTACGACGACCTGTTGAATCTGCTCCTGGAGTCTGTCGATCAGCGGCCCATTACTGTGTCGGCTGTATCCATCCTGGGGGAGCTGGTATCGGGCAAAACTGAAGTCGCCCAGCCGCTGGTGCGCCTCTTCACACACACGGAGCGCATTGCGCCGATCATTGCAGCTCTGGCGGATCAGGAGATCTCTCATTTGACCGATCCCACCACTATATTCCGCGGCAACACTCTGGTGTCCAAGATGATGGACGAGGCGATGCGGCTATCCGGTCTCCACTACCTTCACCAGACACTGCGTCCCGTCCTCGCCCAGATTGTGTCCGAAAAGAAGCCCTGCGAGATTGATCCCAGCAAGTGTAAGGATCGCTCGGCGGTGGACACGAATCTGCAAAACCTTAAGGAATATGTGGAGCGAGTGTTTGAGGCAATCACCAAGAGTGCTGATCGCTGTCCGAAGGTGCTCTGCCAGATCTTCCATGACTTGCGTGAGTGTGCGGGAAAGCATTTCCCAAGCAATCGCGAGGTGCGCTACTCTGTGGTGTCTGGCTTCATCTTCCTGCGCTTCTTTGCACCGGCCATCCTGGGGCCCAAGCTTTTCGATCTAACCACCGAACGACTGGTAAGTGCGACGTCCTTAGTTCCTTATCTTTGTAAGATATTGATATGCCTTTAGTAATGAAGTATATCTGCATTATTTGTAATCAAAGAAACTTGACATAAATCAAGGGGTCTTACTGATAATCTTGGTACTTTACAGGACGCCCAGACAAGTCGCACGCTGACCCTGATCTCCAAGACGATCCAATCGCTGGGCAACTTGGTCAGCTCGCGCTCATCACAGCAGCCATGCAAGGAGGAGTTCACCGCTGAGCTATATAAGAAATTCTGCACGGAGCAGCATGTGGGGGCCGTCAAACATTTCCTGGAGGTAATATCGACGCCCAGCCCGGCGGCCAACAGCAGCGTTCATCCGGCGGCGGCGGCAACGCCATTGGAACCAGTATTACTTAAGGAGGGGTAAGTTGAACCCTTACGAGATCGAGGGGCAAGTCTCTCTCTCTCTCTCTCTCTGTCTCTTTCCCTGTACTGAACGAGTAGTCTCTAGAGAATATCAATTGGTGGACTGTGCAATGCTCCCTCTTCCTCCCTCTATAAATATAACCTATTCTATAGATTTGGCATAAATATATACCCCCAACCCAAATACATTTCGTTGATTACGCTTCGTTTTTATTCTAATACCGAAACTTTCTTTATCTTTCTCTTCTTTTCCGCGCGCTGCTTTTACAAAAAAATCAAATAATAAATCAAAAAACCATCACGCCCACGCCAATCACCATCACCACCACCACCACCACATCACAATCCCATCACACACACAAAAAACAAAAACACACACCTATTCATCACATTTACTACTCATCACACACTAAATCTGTACTAACGTCTAGCGAGGGGTAAGAATAATGCTTGTATTTTGTTGTCTGCTCTTGTCACGGCGGCGCTTCAAGGGGCCCAAGTTCTGTGGCAAGAGCAGAGATCCAAAAAAACATATGTAAATCCAATCTCGAAGTGCAGTGTTGCTAAGACCTCGCTTTTGTTTGCTTTAATCCTCCTCTCGGCAGCATGATGACCAAGTATCCAACGTCCCGGAAGCGCTTCGGCCGTCAGTTCAAGCTGCGCTACTTCCGCCTAACCACCCACTCGCTCAGCTACGCCAAATCGAAGTGCAAACAACCTATCTGTGATATACCGCTCCAGGAGATCGCCAGCGTGGAGCAGCTGAAGGAGAAGAGTTTCAAGATGCAGAACTGCTTTAAGGTGAGCATTCAGTTTGATTTTATTTGCGATTTGCATGTTGCTGCAATGCACACGAGCAGCAGCTGAGTGCCGGAAACGTGCGATCCACGCCACATCTATAAATAGGCAGCCCAAGCCCACACACCTCCGTGGTGATGGGTATGGTAGTCTGGCAGTTTCTACATGTGACAATATATAGCTAAGAAAGTGGTTAAAGTTATAAATTAGTAATCGGATTTTGTTGTATTTAAATATTAAGTTTACAAGTGTTTTCTTTATTCATTTGAGGATGAACTTTCAATAAGTTCTGTAGCTATAGCTTAGTCTCAAAGATCGGTGCATCCCTTACATCTCATCGCTGAGATCACGACGACATGTGGTTGCTGTGTTGTGTGGGCGGATGGATGACAGTCAGTGGCTGCTAATCGATGGAGGAGCAGCCACATCCAACGGCCACAGCTGGAGTCAGCGTCATCCTCTCGGCGATAGTGAAAACTGAACCGTGAGTGGAAAGAGGGAAACTTTCACTAATCACTCACACACAGTTTTTGTGTGGCGGCAAATGACAAGTTGCGGCAATTAAAAATAATTAGCATTATTATGCAGATGAGAACTGCTTGCTGAGCTCCGTTTTGCGTACGTTTCGCTATTGTTATTGCAGACAAGCAATACAAAAAAGAAGAGGGAAATTTCCAAACCTAGAAAAACTAAATCTGCAGTCGAGAATCGTCATTGTGGGTGCGATATCTTGGCGTAACTCTTTTTTTTCTCTTTATCTCGAAACTTTAAGATGTGGGAATTGTCTCAGCCAGCGCGATTTCACTCGACGTGCGATTGTTTTGCAATTGGCGTCGCCGGCGCACACAGAATTTATGTTAATTACCGCAAGAGATGAGGCACTGAGACTTACTTTCCTTTATTTCATTCTCTGCTCCCACAGATTGTGCACAACGACCGATCGCTGATCGTACAGACGACAAACTGCGTGGAGGAGCGGGAGTGGTTCGACTTACTGCACAAGATCTGTCTGATGAATTCGATACGGATGCAGTTCTTCCATCCCTCGGCCTTTGTCAGTGGCTTCTACAGCTGTTGCGGGCGCTCCGACGAGAACTCGCCCGGCTGCAAGAACGTCTCGGACAAGGAGATGGACTACTTCCAGATGGACCTGGTAACTGCATTGGATCCACCGCTCGATCTGCAGCGCATCCACACGCTGATCATGTCATACATGAGTGTGCTTGAGTCTCTGCTGGATCCTCTCGCCTACCACCAACACCTGTCGGCGGCGCAGCACCAGCAACACAATCCCCTGGTGCCGCTGGCCACCGAACTTCAGAAGCACTCGCCCCAGGCCTTTGCCGAGTTCAAGCGCACCATCGAGAAGCTGCGGGAGAAGGCGTACGCCATCGACCGGGATCATCGGGACTACAAGCAGGGCATCACGCGCCAGCTCAAGTATGGCAGCAGAGAAGCACCCATCGGCGATGACAATTACTGGCACATGATGCGTGCCGCCGGCCAGCTGAATCAGCAGCACCACCAGCAGCAGCAGCACCAACAACAGCAGCTGCAACTGCAGCAGCAGCAGTTCCAGCAACAGCCTGCGCTTCCCCAAATGCAGAATGTCCGGGCCTCGCCCTATCAGCCAGCTACGAGCAATATGAACGCCTACTACCTGCACAATCTGCAGCATCAGCAACAGCGTTTCCAGCATCAACACCAGCAGCACCAACAGCAACAGCAACATCAGCCGCTGATACAGCAACAGCAGTCGTCGCAGTACCAGCCACTTCGTAGCCATCAGCTGCAGCGCCACAATAACAGCATTAATAACAATAACAACTGTGGCAACGCCTCGTCCTCCAGTCCATCTTCGACGGCGTCGAGTGTGGTGGCGGCACCGCCGAGCACCACCTCATCGTCGCAACCGGCGCAGCCGATTTATTAGCGTTCAAGGCTCTGCGTATTCGCCTTGCCGCGGGCAATCGTCACGATCAGGTGAAGGAATACGCACCACAAATGGCAGCTTGAACAGAGCGAGCAGAGGAACGGCCCCGCACCAGAAGATGCTGCTGTACAAAACAGTTTAATATGCTAATTTCTAGGATCCTTTTTTTTTCCTTTGTATAATTTTTACGAGTTTAACGTTGTAAAGAAAGGATTAGACTTAAGTTTTTTAATTAACCGATTTTTATACACGACTATTTTTACCGGAAACCGCAGACACCAGCAACAGCAACAAAAAACAAACAAGAAAGCGAAATCTAAATATTTATAAGCCTATTTATTTTTTGTATGTGCTAACACACATTATTTATACACACAACACACACGAAATGGGGCATTTCTACTCCTGAATAGGGAGGAGGATGAGCAGAGAACCACTGCAAACTGATAACTACATAAGGCCTACAAAACTACTACTGAGAACTCCAACATTTGCTAAGATTTTTAAAGCCTAGCGAAATGGAACAAGCGTATATGTAAATCTTAATATATATCTCTCTATACATGTAAATGTGTAACTAGCAACTACATTATACACCAGTTATCTTAGGCGTAGCAGAAATTTCTAAAGAACTAACTAAGCTAAGGACTAACAAAAGCAAATAATTCTAGAAAGGAGAAACCCTACATATAGGAAACGTACATCTACACATGTATATTTTCCACTTTATATAACTGTCATACAGCTAATGTTAAAAACACAACAAACAAGAAACAATATGTATTCGGCAAATTGTAGAATACAAACAAAAAGCATTGTTAAGGATAAAATTACTTCCATTACTTCCACCACACCCACCCACATACACATTTATATATTTATTAAATGCATTTAATTTCATGTTAAATTTAAAGAAAAAACAAAACAAGTTACTTGTTAAAGCGACATTTTGGTTAGCTTCGACACTTACTTCCACCGATTTGTTTCCAAAGCTCTTCCAATATTAATTACACATTTATAGAACTTATGTTAAATAATCTTATTTTTGCCATACTTAGTTCATTGTTCGTTCATCGTTCATCGCATTGAAAAGAAGTGTCTTCCTCCGCCGCGTTTATTCTTATTGCCTTTTGTTTATGCATTCCAATTAATTGTGCATTTCTTTAATTCTAATATCTGCATAATGTACATAGATATACGAAGAGGGAGAAGCGTATTTGATGTTGCTATGAATTTAATTTGTTTGCAGTTTACCAATTCGGTTCATTTACAATTTCAGTTGCATTTTAAGCGCCTAATTTTAGTTTAATCTTATTTACCTAGCCTTGTAAGTTGTTGGGACAAAGAATCGAAAATATATACACTTAGATATATTTTCTAGCGACAAAATAAAGCGTATCGCCAATGGATTTACCTTTTGTTTTTATTTTAGTTTATTATCACTACTCCCCCTCCCATATAGTACCTAACTCTCGTGCTTTAGGAATATCTGGCATACTGTTGTGATATCTTACGATTTGGTAATCGAATTAGTCGTCTTTTGAGCGTGTATGTTAGTTGATTGATCCGTATTTACAATATATTTATATAGTACGTTAAAGCTGTTGAGTATTTTTATTCGTATTGTGACAATTAACGAAAAGCAATTTTTTCAAAACCAAAAACCATTCTATTATGTTTTTAAATTTCTGCGAAAATCCAATGGATACAAAAACGGAGTCCCGAGAGTTGTTGGTTTCAAAACAGAATGGAGAAATACAATGGATCCCCTATTTTTTGTAAACAGATCTTTTGAAATCGACTTTTATGTAAGAATAAATAAATAGTTGTGTATTTTAAATTGCATTTTTTTTGTGTGGGATACGGAAAATGGGTAATAACAACCTTTTCAAAATAATTTTTTTACGAGGTTTGATTTAAAATTATGTATATGCCATATATTATATATATATATATATATATTACTCTATAAAATTAAAAAAATAATCGAAATTTTTATTTTGTAAATTTTATTTTATATATATTGCCAATATATTAACATATATAAAATACAAATTTCGAATAATTTTTTAATTTTAAAGAGTTATAAATATATAAATATTCATATAAATTATATATATATAAATAAAAAATAAATATATATGAAAATTTAAATCTTTATATACATAAATATATATATATATATATATATATAACTAATTAAAATTCAAAAATTAATAGAAATTTTTATTTTATATATATATATATATATATATATATATATATATATATATTGGCATTACAACTCTTTAAAATTAAAAAATTAATCGACATTTTTTTATTTCATATTTTAAAAGAATTAAAAATTTCTGGAAAATTTTCTGGAATTTCGGTTTTAATTTATGAAAGTGAATCTAAAACTATAAATGTAATAAGTATGGATGTGTGTAATGAAAATAGGAATTATTTCGTTGTTTTTTTTTAGCACAAACATATATAATTAATATTGTATTAATTATGAATGATCGAGTTGCGACCTGCAAGGTTATTCAAACTTTACTGCTTTATCAAATTAAAATTTAAATAAGGCAGTTATTTTTACTATTTCCTGCGACCTGGTCTCATTAAAGCAAAGGAAATAGAGGTACAAAAACATCGATGTATGGAGACATCGATGTTTTTCACACAAAACATCGATTAAACATACTTTTTTTAATTTAAATAATATTATTTAAATTATTGAAAGTCACACCTTGGGTTTTATTAAGAACAAAAAAAAAAAAATAAATAAAATATTATTCCCTTGTAAAACAAACTTAGAAAACTGATTATTGAAAACATGTCTTCTAAAGGTCTTAAGCGTTATAAAAAAAAATTGTATTATTTATTAACCATGCCAGGCATGATACGTCCTGCGTTCAGATAAAATTTGCCCAGATTTATTATTACATATAAGAATAATAATAAAAAAATAAAAAAAATTGGCTCTTTTAGGGGAGGCACAGAAACAGCGATGGTCGACAAAAGCATCGATGATTCAGAAAATTAGAAAGTATCGATACATTAATGTCGATGTTCTTGCACCTCTCGTCACATCCCTAAGCATTTTGACATCTCTAGTAATCACATCGTTCGCCATTGCCAGAAAACTTTTTTCGACAAGAAAAGTGGTTCGGAAATTGTGTGAAAAAAGCAAGGAAACGTGCAATTTTATTTGAGGAAGAGAATTTTAGTGAGTAGCTTAGTGTAGCTATAAGAACTGAAGGTAAGTGGTGCCGTGGGCAGTGCAAATAATCCTCGAAATTGCGGGGCCGGCAGTATTGATTTTTTTTCCTGAACGAGCCGACGCCACCGGCAGACCTTTTTCCATCCGTGTAGCGCAGGGGTGCTGCGCTGGACGGATGTGTTTTTTGCGCACATATACATATGTACATATATGCACACACACACAGAAAGTGCATCGGCAGAAGCAGTCGCGGTTGGCCGGTGCATGGTGATTTAATACACTTCTAATCTTTTTGCTGACTGCGCTCTTTCACTTTCTGACAGAAAACTATATACATATACTAAGACAGAAAGAGATAAAGATGCGTGGACGCGGCGGATTCATTCCACGTGGTGGTGGTACCACTCGCGGCGGTTACTACAACAATCGTAACTCGAGCAACTACGTTAATACCCGTACCCAGGGAAATTACCGGCCAAATGGCGGCCGCTACGAGAATAACTACCACAACAATAACAATCGTTACAACAGCGGCGGTGGCGGAGGAGGAGGCAACAACAGCCACTATGACAACCGGAGTCGCGACAAGTTCACGCACCACAATTCGAGCAGCGGCGGGCGCTACGATTCCAGCTCCAGCCACAAGCGCAGCTATGTGAGTTTTTCTTAACATTTTTGAAATATATATCACTCTGCTGCTAGCGATAAGCAAAAAGTCTAGACATATTCGCTACAATCCTTACAAAAATTGGTTAATATAGCCTAGATCCAACATTATCTACATTTTTTAATCCATCAAATAGAAACATGTTAAATATCCTGGGTTATTTATAGTTTTTATTTTACTAGTAATCTTCCTCTCCTTAAACACAAAACAAATGAATTCTTATCTTCTCAGGGGTAGTTAGTGTGTAAACACAAGATATTTTGCAGATTTTCAGCAGGTAATGCCTCGATATCAACAGGAAACAATGAGATAACTAAAATCCCTTCAAGAAAATCAAGAAAAACTAAATTATACTCAGGCTGATTTACTCAAAGAGCTCTGTAGCTAATTTTAGACTTTGTTTCGGTTATTGGTCAATATGTTTCACTCAACGCTAACAAATTGCACTATAATTTGGAAAGTACGTAGTATTTAATGTCTATATTCTATTTGTATTTTGGCTTGGCTTAATGGCCAATATTTTTGGAACAAACTTTTCTATTTCTTTGCTTGGGCGAAAGCACACTTATTTTCGTGTCTGTGGAAAAAGTTTATATATATATTTGATATATATTTATATTCATTGTTAGAATACACACGGGTGTGGTAAAAATAATATCACACCAGATGCAACTCTTCAGAATAAAAGCAAATTAATTTTCAAGAGTTTTAACAATAGTATGAATTCAATTTTCCCGAAATTTCTGTGTGAAAAATTACCCTATTGAGTAGATTTTCGGGAGTCGGCAATTGTAAATAATAACAAAAGAGTCTTTATAAGCTAAAGATACCGCAATTCAAGACAAATAAGTATAGAGAAGAAATGAACTCAAGGAGACTAAAAAAGAATATATATTGCTGACACATTTGTCACGCCATTTTGAGCTCTGCCCGTCGACTTGCAGCAGATGAGTGATGTGGTTTCAAAGATATATACGTAGATATTAGATATATACAAAAATCATAATGCTAATGTAATCTATTTTCATCCCAAATGCGTTTGTCTAGGACTCATCTCGCGATCGCAGCAGCGATGACCGCAAGCGGCCCCGCCAAGACGTAAGTTATACTTTGCCCCTGTCCCATTGTCAAATCACCCGCCATTTCACAGGTCTTTATATACATATATTAATGAATTATGCATTAAGCTAAAATACGACATGTACCTTGTAATGTTAATGACTTTCCAAATATTTATAGCACTGTTTTTTATGAAGCTTAAACGCGGAATCGAGCGATTGAGCCTATCGAGCGTTATAAAGCGTTAACATATGTCTTAAAACAGCAAACAGCGCCGACTCAAAGTTGCCAGATAAGCATACTTTGCAGCGCCCTCGTATATGACCATAAATATCTATATATTTGCAAATCGGAAACGTATATAGAACAGAACATGATTTTGCCAGCCAGCGCCCGA